CTACGCAAGTGACGTTTAGTATTCATGAATAACAGAGTGATACGTAATCGTAGGTAATCATATAATACGCGGAAATTATAGAACATTGATTGCAAGTGAAGGGAAGTCTTCGAATGCTACAAAGCCTCGGGGGGGATAGACAAATTCATAATCCTTTGATTCCCCCCTCCCGTGATAAATGATGACGATCCTTTACTCTTCCTAAAGTCTTCTTGAAAGAATAAAAGCTGTGTACTAAATTTTTTGGTGTTTCGTGAAGCTGGTGAAAATATGAGACAAATCTTTTAAAGACTAAAATTTTATTTTTCAAGATTATAATCTTAGACACTTAACTTTTACAAAACTTCTCTCCACCCACTCTTGGTCCAAGATCAGCTTTAGCCCTTTTTCCTCTAAGCTGCATTATTCAACTGATTCATGTGGTAAAATATGAGTGTTAGTGCACAGCCAAACTATGTCAGTCTCTGTGGAAGATGTCACAGCCTTATGGTCGCTATAGGAGCAGATGGATTAATGGAACATCACTGCTCCCTGGTTACATTTGATGTCACAACCCAATTTATTCCACAGATCTAAGCAAAGCTCTTGTTATCACAGAACTGAGCTCCTCAAGGAAATCATAAATGTTGTGATGTCAAATCTCAGAAGGCTTGCAGAGAAACCCATTGCAGTTCACAGGTAAAGATTAATAGATAAGACTTCTACAACTAGAAATAAATCACTTTACTTAAGTGATTATCTATTTTTATTTTATTCAGCATCAGGCTACAAGGATCAGCTGCCCTCAACATGTGCTCTGTGGCCAGTGGTGAGACAGGACTGTATTGTGAATGTGGTATCCATGAAATTTAAATAATTAATAAAAAGGAGTAAATGGTGTCTCATGAGCAAGATTGTGTCTTTGGGTAAAAATTAAAATGATTAAAATTCAGAAAGCAAGTGAGAAGAAAATTTGGATTTTTTTTTGAAATATCAGAGAGCCATTTTTTTAAGTCAGAAATTCAGTCAGCTTTATGTACTTATATTAACCAATCATATTATTATTTTTAAGGATACAGCTTTGGAAGATTTGTATGCATTTAATGTTCTTGAATTTATGTGCTTGCATACAGCGACACTGTAACTTACATCACTACAATAAAAAAAATACTTTAACAAAGTTGACAATACAAAACAAATTGGTGACTAATTCAAATTTATTACCTTTTAACTCCTGATTTGTTACTTTTCTATGTGTAGTTAATGCACCCCTTGCTTCTCTGGTTCTTTAGTTACTCCCCCTACCTCTAACATCCTGCTACTTTTGTTACCCCTGCTCCATTTCCCGAGGGAAAAGTTCAACACCAGACCTAAGTGTCTAAAATCAGAGAAGGTGTCTGAAATAAGATGAGAGAGTTGGAAAATTGGATGGAGACGTCTGTTGCACAGCTTAAAGTATCAAAGGAAAAAATAATTTTTTCTGCAAGATGCCACCCTTTCCCCTGAGATCAGGCATTGCATGAGAACTTCAAATAATGCATGCATGAAGAGAAAAACTTGGTTTTTATTGGCAATGCAAGCACAAAAGCAATCGCTAACCCAAGTATAACAACTGTTATTTTACTATGAAGACAGCTTCAACACACTCATAAACACAAGCAGAAGCACTTTCTTTCTCTTTTCTTGTACTTGCATTAAGGTGAATCAAGAGCTGTTACGCTTGTATCTGTACTTAAGTCAGCAGTGAAAATCAGTCCTAACCCTTTAACTCCCAGGATCTGATCGTTAATTTTCCTGGCAAGAAGGGCTTGGTCTGAGCAATATGGACAAGTAGCTCACAGAGATATTAAATTAAAAATTTATGGAAATATCAAGTTTTAGAACTAACACAATGTGTTGCATTTTCCTCTGGAGTTAACCACGGTGATATTTATAAGATTATGGTTTTCCGATTTAGAACGCATCCTGCAAGAAATGCTCTCGACAAAATTACTCGATTAGGTGGACAGAAGCAAAAGTACTGTCAAAACTTGAAGAACCGAGATAGGAGGAGCATGAGAACCGTGATGGCCATGATAATACAAGCCATTGCGATTCAAGGATGACTCTTCTGAATACCTCAGATCCACCTGAAATTTTATGAAGACAGGGTCTTTTCAGCCTCCGCTCCCAGGCTGTAGAATGTCTCACATATAGACCTTAAATTGAGCCCCTTACTTTCTGTTTTCTGAGAAAATATTAAAGACGCATTTTTTCAGAGCTACTTATGATTAACTGTCAATTTCTAACTAGGAGAAGGAGCTTTCTGTATGTACCGCTATATAGATTAATTACGCTATTATTACTATTATGACTCTTAGTATTATCGGTTAACTGGCTGATTCTACAGAATTAACTATTCCTATTTTGAAAAAAACTCGGACAAAGAAGATTAAGCAAGAAAAACGTGAACAACATTTCGCTAAGCTCCAATTTTAGAGTAACTATTACATGCTGAATAGACTTGATCGAGACACTCGTTTCCTTTGTTAAGTTGGTACTGTATCATTGTTGAGCCATAAATATGACGGTTCAGAAATCCACTGGTCTTATTTTCATCTCGGTTCTCTTTAGAGAGTAATGTTGTCCTTTCCAGTGTTTCCAGTTCACTCCATTAGCAAAGGAGGAGTGCTGGCCACGAAGATATAAATCATTGAGATTCGAGCGGTGACACCTCTCGTACCACCATGCTCCTTCGTACTTAATGGCGCAGTTGTAATCTCCATGATGGTCATTATCTTGATCTTTAGTGGTGAATGGCATACCGCGGTGCACAGCAAGGGAGTCACCAGAATTTCCTGAAAAAACGAGCCGCACGATGAGTATTACGTTTGACCGACAATGAGCAGTTGCTAATTCAAAAGAAACCTTGAAATATCGGATAAGTATAATTTAACAATAATGATATGGAGTAAAAGTATTCTTAGTAATATCTGTGATTCATGTCGAAGATTCTAGGAATTGAATCACTCAATCTGATAAT